GCCTTGTTGGCTGGGGCGGCCTGTCCCTTGGAAGGGCCCCCGGAGCCCTTCTGCGTCGGTTTTGAGGAACTACAGCCCATTCCCGTCCTTTGCGTTTCGTCCCTTTCGCGGGGGGGAGTGTGTGTGTGTGCGTCCTATCTTTTCTTTCCTTTGGGTTGGGATCCGTGTGTGCTGCGGACCGCGTGATGTTCGGCGAATTGGCCCACCGGATGGAATGGGGTCACTCAGAAGAAAGAAGGGTCCTGAAAGTCCAGGTAATAGTGGCTAAGTGAGAAAAAATGTCGCACAATACTTCTCAGTGAGAAGGCGGGGAATATTAAATAAATAAAAAAAGGGGGGGGGAAGGCAAATATAATCTTATTTCTGGTAGCTTGACGCTTTCAATTCCTCCATTGGGTTTGTTCCCTATATATATATTTATATAGAAATATGATAAGACATATGGAAAAACGCATCTTCTCAATAAGAGATCAAATAAACTCAAACAATGATAAAAATAATACTTTATGATGAGCTAAACCTCATTTCTCTTTTCATTCAGTATTAGTTTTCCAGATCGAGGCTACCGAAAGCAGATCATCGTACATTCCTTTTCTCAGAGGATCTACACGCACAAGCAGCTCGTGCAGCCGCTCAAAGCACCACGATACCTCAATATCAAGTTCCTCTCCATCTTTCTCATTGTTTTGAGTGAAATAATAGTCATTATTCGAATCATTTTTTCCATCATCAACCTCATCGTTATTGTTAAAAATTCTTTTCAAGGTTTGTGTGATGTAGGACCTCAGTTTAAGAGAACTCGCTCTTGCCGCTATGGGTAGTTCCTTCTTTTCGCTCTGCGCTTTTTTTAAAAGTCGAGCAAAATTAGAAAGTAAAAAGTGATAGGGTAGGAAGCAGGTATCTTCACCGAGACTTTTTTCCTCGATAAGAATATCAATTGCCACGCGCACGAGGACATCGAGGAAATCCCCACGACAAGTTCGTAGCAACCCCCACGCCGCGCTCGAATTTAAGTTTGGATAATTTACTAATTCTGCATGAACTTCCAAAAAAGCGTCATGTAGGAAGGGCTCGTAAAGCTCAAAAACTTCCCGAACAAAAGGCGTGTAAAACCACACCGCCTGATCGTTTGGATCGCAGTAAATCGCCTGCAGGAGCAAATCCAATTCCTGCACGAGGTGAACCAGCAAATGCCGCGATAACCCCCGCGAAGAGGCCGAACTTGCGGGCTTTGCCTGATCGCCGGAAGGGGTTGACAAGGGAAGCCACGACGGACGCCTTGGCAAAGCGCTACTCCCATTTCTATCACCATTGTTGGCCATCGCACTACTGAAGATCGGGGGGGAAAGCAGGCCGCTACGATCATGCCGGCAAAGCGCAACTTGCAGCGTAACCGCGCGCTCATGCCAGGCGCTATAATTGGAAAAATTTCGACAAATCATGGCCTTTGTGTAATCGATCTCGGCCGCCTCGGACGAGGAAAAAAGCTCGAGGCTGCTTTCCTCCCCATCCGAAGAGGAGTCCACCTTCAGAGGCGAGAAGAGGATGCGATGGGGTCTTTGACGAATCGAAAAAACCCACCGGCGATGATTCCACGCGTGGAAATTACGCTCATCCAACAACAGCAGCTTTTCACACTCCTCCATTTCCTTTTCGATCGCCTTAACGGTAAAGGTTAAATACGGCAGCCCTCCCTTATCCTCAGCACGCGTAGACGATGCATTCTCCTTATTCGAGGTGGGAGCTTCCTCCTTAGCGGCAAAAGATGCTAAACAATCAAAAATCCAATGCCGGTGCACAAAAGCCGCGTAAATTTTATAATCTTTCTGTAAAATTGCGCTATTAAGCTTGAAATCCTCGCGGAGCCACTCAAGAGGTCCTTTATTCTCTCCAACCCCGCTTACATTTTCTCCCTTTTCTTCAGAGGCATTTTTGAATAAATGTTCAAGTATTTCCCTTTCGTAATTGTAAAAGGTATAGGCTTCAGGAATCTCCAAAAGAAGTTTTCTATTCTTCTGGAGCGCGTCGACAGTGTATTTTTTCGCGTGGTAATCTACCATGAGCGCCTGGTAAAGTTCCCCCTTTTTTCGTTCGTCATCCTCACGAGCTTTCCTAGCTTCATCGGATTCCTTTTGCTTTATTCTGGGCTGATCATGCATTATATTGTCTAAAATTTCTTAAAAAACTTTGCTTTTGGGTGAGCCTAACAGATTCAACGGATAGAAGTTCTCATAAGATAAAGCATATATTTATTATTATTATTGCAAGTAAGACAAGAAGAATACCCAACAAGAGAAATAAAATTAGAAAGCGATATTTTTCTTTTGCTTAAACTGTGAAAAGGTAATGCATTTTCGTTTATTGAAAGAAACGAACTCTATTCAGGACACCAAAATTGACATTTATATTCTTTATTCATGCTTCATTTCAGCATTGAGCGTTATGGGCAATATATTTTCAAAACTTAGGCATCACGAAGTAGGCAGTATAATTGCTCAAGGAACGTTCATCTTAAATTTTAAATTATTGTTTCTTACACCCCTATGAGCAAAGCAATAAATCAAACTTCGTTAAAAAAAAGGAGGAATCATATATTTTCATCATAATGTTGAAAAAATTCCGAGAGGAAAAATAATTTTCTCATTGATTTTCAATCAGTTATTAGTTTATATACCTACCTCATACATTTTTTCACAAGTCATTGTCATTAGAATAAGATGAAAAAAAAAAATCAAATAAAAGTATAACCATACATGGATTTTTCACCACGATATCCTCTTCACACTGAAGAATAACCACTTCATTTTTCTAACTTCCCTTTAATGCCCCAAACCGCTCGCAGGAAATGTTGAAGAATTCGATTACGCAGCGGTGCTCGATATTCGTTTTTCCCAGCGCTTTGGGGTATCCTCTTTCTGCGCCCCCCAATAATAACGACGGCTTATCCACCCCACGGTCAGGCTCTGCATCCCCAAGAAGACGCAGATCATCCACTGCGCAGCTGATAAGGGGACCGTGTTGAAAAACTCCCCACCGTACTGGACGATAAGCACTTGTAGGCAGGAAACCCCAATCATAATGCAAATGAGAGTTTGACTGGACCGCCAATTACCGAGGAAAGCCTCATTCGGGCGGATCAAACGTGAGTTCAAAAAGTTAAATATCTGCATCCATATAAAGGTGTTAAACATGATGGTACTATGCTGAATGAGGTGCATTGGGAGTGGGATCCCGTCATCGAAGTTGGTTGGTTGAAGGGGGTTGAAGTCGTTTCCCGAGAACGGCATCAAAGGCACCTCCACCGAGCCTCCTTCGATATCGTTCAACCCCAACTCGCTTCGAGTTCCGCCATCGCCCCTCCGCATCCCCAACGGCGCCGCGCAGAAGCGATGGCCGTATTTCAGCAATAAAACCTGCACCACGATCTGAAAGGCGCTCTGCCAGCTGATATGAAACCACATACTGGGCAGCACCAACGGGGTGGTCTTCGACTCCGGCGGGCGCGAAAGCAGCACCTCCTCGTTTGGCAGCTCGGTCGCCAGCGCGAGCGCCGCCAGCGTGTCCATGATCAAATTCAACCACAACAACTGCACGGGCTTCAGCACGGCCGAGTCGTGGCGCCTGCTCAGCGCGCCGAGAAGCACCACCATGCAGGTCGCGATATTCGCGGCGAACTGAAACTGCAGGAACTTTCGGATATTATCGCGAATGTTCCGCCCCCACATCGTGGCTTTGACCATCCCCGCGAAGTTGTTCTCCAGGAGGATGATATCCGAGGCGCTCTTCGCCACGTCGCTGCCAGCGTTCATGGCGAAGCCGACGTCGCTGAGTTTGAGCGCGGGGGCGTCGTTGGTGCCGTCGCCGGTCATCGCCACCACCGCGAGGGGGTCCCACGCGTGCAAAAGCCGCACCATCCGCCGTTTATCCAGCGGCGTCGCCCGCGCGAGGACGCGGAGCTGCCCGAGCGACCGCCCCAGCAGCTCCTCATCGC